GTGGTATCTCATAGTTGTTTTGATTTGCATTTCTCTTATGGCTAATGATCGGGAACATTTTCTCATATGTTTATTGGCCATTCGGATGTCAGACTCTGTAAAACTTCTGTTCAGGTCCTTTTCCCACCTCCTCAGTGGGCAGTTAGTTTTTCTCTTATTGTGACCTTGCAAGGTATTGTAGATTTTAGTAATAAGGCCTTTGTCTGATGTGTCATTGCTAAAGATGTTTTCCCAGTCGGTGGACTCTCATTACTTTCTTGGTGAATTCTTTCGATGTACACAAGTGTCTTATCTTCAGTATGTCCCACTTGTCTATTTGTGACTCCTCTATGTTTGTATCCTTTCCTATTTCTGATAGCCTATGTATTCCCTGTGCCAAGGTTCTCAGGTTTGTCCCAATTCCCTCATTAATGGCCTTAATTGTTTGGGGTTTTATCTCAGGGTCTGTGATCCACCTTGAGTTTATTCTTGTGCATGGAGTCAGGTAAGGGTCTTGCTTCATTTTTCTGCAGGTAGATATCCATTTTTTCCAGCACCATTTATTGAAGATGGCATCTGCTTCCCATTTAATATTTTTTTTGGCCCTTATCAAAGATCAGTTGCCTGTATGTTGATGTTTTTATTTCTGGGTCTTCAACTCTTTTCCATTGGTCTGAGTATCTGTCATTATGCCAATACCACACTGTTTTGACTACTGTGGCCGTATAGGACATGCTAAAGTCAGGTGGATCAAGGCCTCCCACTTTGTCCTTCTTCTTGAGGAGTTCTCTGCTAATTCTGGACTTCTTCCCCCTCCATATGAAGTTCGTTATCTGTTTTTCCAATTCTTTGAAGAAGAATGGTGTTATTCATATTGGGATAGCATTGAACTTATATAGTGCCTGGGGCAGAACTGACATCTTTACTATATTGAGTCTGTCAATCCACGAGCATGGGATGTTCTTCATATTTTTATTCAGGTATATCCCTAGGTATTTCAATTTGTGCTTGGCTATTGTAAAGAGTACTACCTTTTTAATCATCTCTTCTGTGATCTTGTCTGATGGGTCACTAAGTTATTTAAATTATAGAATGCAGAAATGATGATCCGATATGCGTATCCCCACCTAATTCACAGTACAACTTTTGAAAAATATCAGGCAATGATTCCCAAATCTGAGAGCAGAAAGAATACATAAGTCAAGAGTTTAAACTGTTCAGATGAAGAAATTGATGTTAAAGGTAAATTTGAATGAAAAGAAGGTTGTTGTGACAAGTGAGGTACATTGCTCTGAGCCCGAATGACTTCTTTATTGCCTCTTCAAGATAAAGTAAAAGATAATCTCAAGACAGAAGACTGACCTTAGAGAAAAAGCCCATCATGGAATAAGATGCCTTTATTCTAGCAAAATGATCAGAAAACCTAAAATTCTTAAAAGTACCGGTAATTCTAGGTTTGCTTTTGTGATGTGTTTTTCTTGTCTGCTGTAACCATTGTTTTTGTTATCTCAGCCCAGCTTTTTGTGTGATTTTATAAACATATTTGTTATTTGTGATATTACTGTATTAAATATTTTAGAGATTGAATTGGGCATGATCTCATTTTATTACTTCATTTTCAAGAGGTACTGAAGAAGGAAGGGCCTTGGCCAAGGTCTCACCCTAGGCCAGAACTAAACTCAGGTCTTAGGATACTTGTTCTGCAGTGACTGTGCCATATTAATGGCTGAAAACTCAAAGGCCTAAACAAGTAGGTGTTTGATAGCTTAAATATATAAACAGACTAAGAAAAATATATAATATGTATATTCATTTTTTCCACGAAGAAATTTTTCTTGAAGCTCACAGTATTTGGGGACTGAATTTCGTATTCCCTCTTTGACAGAGATAGCCAAAGAGAAGTAGCTCTCCCATACAGGTAACGCGTCAGTGCAATCCTGCTGAAATATTGCTAGAACTTAGAATCTGCTGCGTGGGAACAATAGAGGGTACTTAGTTCCCTCTCTAACTGGGAAACACATGCCTATCTGAAGGGACTGCTAATCACCCAGGTACAGCTGATTGCTGTCGTGAGGGAGCATGGGTGGTCCAGTGTTTTCCATTTTTTCCAGTTGACCAAGAGAAACCAGAATCTAAGTTCAAGTGCATTATTCCAAATTTAAAATTTTGCCTCCACTGTAAAAAGAAAAATAAAGAAAAGTAACCATGATAAGCCCAAATAAAATGCATCTGTGGGCCAGATGCTACCACATACTACTCACGCATGATCTCTGTGTTATGCTGCATTGCATAACTATCCCCCCAGGCTCCAAAACAGACACTATCTTGATACGGAAGGGCCTAAACACCCCAGCCTTAGTGATATATTGCAATGTAGCCTTTCCTTCTTGATTTGGACATGAAAGCCATTTGAAGAAGGCCTGACCCAATCACATTTCTTAACTAGAGACATAGTTTTTAGCCTTTTCTGCCTGCCCTTAGAACTGATATCTAAGAAAATATATAAAGTAAGAAAATAGGATTCAAATGGCTCTGTCCATATATTTCTAAGTCAACCACTTTGCAAGGACATTCATTGGATTATAATTGGTTATTTCCCTGAGGAACAAATAACTGCTAATGGGATGATAGACTCTGTTATTGTGCTAGGTTCGTTAGAGAAAAGAGCATAAGCAGAGACCAACCCTAGGAACAGGCACTCCAAGTAACTGGAAGGAATGTTCAGTTATTTGACCAACTGGCCTGTTCTTTGTTAAGCAGGGCAGATTGTAACCAACAGAGGCTATAAAAAAAAAATTCAGTTGGTCAGCTTTTTACTCTTTTGGTAGTACCCCTTATGTTTAATAATAAGTATTATGAACTGAATGTCCACTAGATACCAGGCACTCACTAAAACCTTCCCTGCAAAGCAGAAGTTGTTTTCCCCTTTTACAGTTGTAGGAATGCAGATTCGGGGAGGCTACATCATTCTGTCCAGGCAGCACAGCGCAAAAGTATACACCATAGGTTATCATTGAAGTCTATTTCCAAAGCCCACATTTTTCTATGAAACCACATTTCTCTTCCTTAGTCACTAAAATTTAAATATTAAAGACAGCTTTAACTCTGAATTATTTATAGCCTCTAACAGATCAGTCACTAAATCTGTTTTATTTTCTCTAAAATATGGTTTATGTATTTGTTTAAGATGCCAAATATTGTTCTCAACAGTGAAAAGAGGGGAAGAATGGGGCTCTTGCTGTAAAAGAACCTAAAGAGAAGAGACAGGAATAAGCTAATGATTATAAAAGATCTGGATAAATGATACAATGGGATGATAGAGTATACGTACATGTGCCTTGTGTATGCCCGCCAGTGAGCTTGGCTTTCATTGGCTGCATGGGCAATAGGTTCCCTTAATGTTTCCCCATTGCTCCTCAAATGAAAACAGGGATCTATGACCCTCCCACCAGTCGAAGGACCAACATGTACCTGACTTCCAAGACCCTTTGCCTCTAATCCCACTCTCATTATCAATCCATATTTCCACGACACCATTTATTTTCTAATTTAACATATCGTTACCTTCAGTTTATAATTTCAAAAGGGACCAATTATTCTGTCTTAAAGGGAATCTGACACAAGGGAGGTTACTGAGACTCATAGCAGCTAAATGACTTGCAGAAAGTCGCATGAGGACATTGGTGGTTCAGTGGTAGAAGTAATGCCTTCCATCGGTGAGATTTGGGTTTGATTCTTGGCCAATATACCTCCTAGGCAGCCATCACCTCTCTGTCAGTGGGAGCATGCACATTGCTCTAATGCTGGACACGTTTCATCAGAACTCCCAGATGAGGACGGACTAGGAAAAAAGACATGGTGGTTACTACTCACTAAAGTAGGATGTAGAACTTAGTCTTATGAATTTTCTTGTACCACTTGACCTTGGTACCCTAAAATTATGATCCTGAGCCCAACAGCTCATTCCCTCAAGTTCCTTGATTATATCTAAGAAGTTCTCATAACTTTTCCTTTGTATCAGGACTTTAATCTTTACATAAGCAAAAGACCACATCTATCTCTCTGAGACAGTCTGATGGGTTTGAAACACCCACATTTAGGTCTGTAGCCAAACAGCTAGCCAGTGGGTCATCAGGGCAACTTAAGAACAAAGAGTTGAAAGAAAAAGACTTATCAATACCTGGTTTCATTTTTTTTTTAAACATTTTATTAGGGGCTCATACAACTGTTATCGCAATCCATACACACATCAATTGTGTAAAGCGCATTTGTACATCATTCTCAAAACATTTTCTCTCCACTCAAACCCCCGACATTAGGTCCTCATTTTTATTTTGTCATATCTTGCCTTGACCGACGTCTCCCTTCCCCCACTTTTCAGTTGTCTGTCCTCCAGGGAGGAGGTCACATATAGTTCCAATACCTGGTCTCAACCTAGAATCAAGGAACTATAAAATTGACCTCTCTGTCTTGTTTTTCAGATAGACCATGTGGTGCAAGGCCATGCTGCCTTCCCCGAACTACAAGCCAAGGCCACTGCCAGGTAACTGCCCTCTTTGTTCCATGTGTAGCTTTCTTAGATGACTGCATTAAGACTGTGCACATGGGATGGTTGAGCAATTTTAAAATGGTATAGCACTGTTAGATTCTGCCAGCAGCTCTCTGGGAGAAAGGTGGCAGTCAGTTTCTGTAGTGATTACAGCCTTGAAATACCTTTGAGCCAGTTCAGCTCTATCTTATAGGGCAACTGGTGTTTTTGTTTGTTTGAGTTTTAGTTTTTATGGCAATGGAAATGCCTGGATATATTTTGTTTTAAAATAGTCGACCAGATGATCCAGAAACAGACTTCCATAGTTTTCTCCCACAGGGTAATTGGTGGGATCAAGCCATTCACCTTTCGATTAGCAGCCAAATGCTTAATCAGTGCTCCACCAAAACTCTTTCCATAAGTACTACAGCCTTGAAAGCCATGTAGGGTAGTTCTACTCAGCTGCTCTGAGCATTATGAGTCAGAAATGACTCAACAACAAGATAGGTTTTGACTTAATTAGGTATAAAACTTTAGATAAATTATTCAAGACTTTTTAGTCTGTAGCTGTTAAGAATAAGAATAGATATGTTGTCAGGTTATATTGTTAAGTGAAGAAAAAGGGGATGGTGGTGGATTACATGTAAAGAAATGTAACCAATGTGCCCCATTCACATAAGAGAGAAAAAGTTATAAGACAATGTGTTTCTGTCTACTCATTTATGTAAATTCCATAGGAAGATCAAACCAGAAATTTGCTGAGATTGGTTGTGTGTCAGAAGCAGGTAAGGAAAGGATGGAAAGATAAAAGGATGAAATAAGATATTAGGAGAATGCAAAGATTTTCTGAGCATAAAATTCAGACTCTTCCATGATAATGTTAGAGAGCTAGTGATAATGAATACCATGATATGTATGTGTATGTGTGTGTGTGTAAAATGAAATACAAATAGTAAATAATAAACCTAACTGTATTACAAATGAATAATATGATCACACTAAAGAGGTTGGGAAAGACAAGAACTAGGCTAAGTAAAGTAAAAGAGTATTTTGACAGCCTGCTATATTACTAAAGATAAAAATAACTACATATAAATATTGTACTCTAATTAGTAACCTTTTTATAGAAGTATGTGCTTGCCATTTGGAAAGTATTGTATGTGTTCACTAAGCCTAAGCAAATGAATTAAGGATCCCGTGGATAATGAGAGCCAGGTTTCTCATTGCCAGTTTCAAATAAGCAAATGAGCAAAGCCTAAATGAATCTTAGAACTAGATTCAATTCAAAAGTTTTAATAGGAACCAGTGAATTTTTAATATGTATCCAAGGACATAAGTAGACATTACTACAGATAGGTGTATTTGTCTATGAGTAGCCATACTGTACAGAGCCCTGGTGCGGCTGTCCAGTAAGTGTTGAGCTGTTAACAATGACAAGGTCAGTAGTTCAAACTCACCATTCACGCCCCAGGAGAAAGATGAAGTTATTGCTCCCATGTAGCTGTGTGGCCTTGGAAACCCCATCGAAGCGTGACTGTGAGTGGGACTCGACCTGAGAGCACTGGGTTTTGTTTTGTTGTTCAGAGAGCTCCCCGTGAACCGAAAGTCTGAGGGCTTGGATCCGCCAGTAGCTCCATGGGAGAAAGGTGTGGTGCGGTGACGAGTGCACTCTCTCGGCTTTGGTGGCTCAGAATTCACATCTAAGCAGCCTCGTTCTGAATATGCTGCTCTCATGTCTCTTATAAAATAAACCAGGGCTCTGGGCGGGGGTGGGGGGGGATGATCAATACAGGGTGGAACAGAGAAAATACATGAATATTTTGTGGTGCCAAAAAGTAAAAATTTGCACATAAAGGGATTGTCAAAGGACCTAGGCTCTAACTTGAAGTATCTAATGGAGAGCTAATGGAGAGAAAAGAAGAATAACAACAATAGGAATAAAATAACCATCTGTGAAAATGTATTGATATAAATAAAGATCGGAAAACAATAAATAAAAACAAAAGCACAGCTCATCCCCTTGGTGGACATCTCAGAAATAAATATGGAAGAAATGATGGTTATAGACAACCTTCCTTAGGCAAACACCCCAGCAATAACGATTGCAGGCAAGAAACATCTCTCCACAAGTGCTTATTAATTACTCAAGGAAAAATAGGGACTTTACATTAGTGAATCGGGCAAACACTACTTTCCCCAATCAAATGATCAAATTTATCATTTCACATATTATAATACATCACCAGAATGTATCTCCTGATCTGAGGCGCTGAGAAGAGAAAACCATATGGAAGAAGCAAACCAGTCTGTGTGATCATAGTAAGGTATCTTTAGCAAAATGATAAAGACTTCTATGAAGGTCCTCCTAGTTCTTTCCTCTAATTCCTTATACTTTCCTCTTGTCCCGGTATCATGTTCGGCCGTCATTCAGGTTTCAGTAATTCCTCACAGCTACATGACCCTTGATCAAGGCCCACCAGGCATCCTATGCCCTCCTCACCATCGATTTGAAATCACTTGTTCCTTTTTCCCTGGGTTGATTGACACCCCCTTTCTTTTTTTTGTTTCTTTTTATTCATTTTTATTGGGAGCTCATACAGTACTTATTATAATCCATACCTATAGCCATTGTGTCAAGCACATTTGTACATTTGTTGCCATCATCATTCTCAAAACATTTGCTTTCTACTTGGGCCCTTGTCATCAGTTCCTTATTTTTCCCTCTCTACCCATTCCCCCCTTTCTCATGAACCTTTGATAATTTATGTTATTATTATTTTGTCATTATAATATAATGTTATTATAATATAATAATAATAAATATTATATTATTAGTTATCTTACACTGTCTGACGTCTCCCTTCACCCACTTTTCTGTTATCTGTCCTCCAAAGCAGAGGTTATATGTAGATCCTTATAATCCATTCCCCCTTTCTACCCCACCTTTCCTCCTCTATATAGTCACTCTCACCACTGGTCCTGAGGGGTTCATCTGTCCTGGATTCCCTGTGTTTCCATTTCTTGTCTGTACCAGTGTATATCCTCTGGTATAACTGGATTTGTAAGGTAGAATTGGGATCATGATAGGGGAGTGGGGAGGTAGGAAGCATTTAGGAACTAGAGGAAAGTTGTATGTTTCATTGTTGCTACACTGCACCCTGATTGGTTCAACTCCTCGCCACGATTCTTCTGAAAGGGCCTTGGGTCCCCACTCCGCACTCCTCCTCATTCACAATGATATGATTTTTTTGTTCTTTGATACCTGATCCCTTTGACACCTTGTGATCTTCTTCTGGTGTGCTTCTTCTATGTGGGCTTTGATGTCTCTGTGCTAGATGGCTACTTGTTTACCTTCAAGCCTTTAAGACCCCAGGCACTTTATCTTTTGATAGCTGGGCACCATCAGCTTTTTCCACCACATATGCTTATGCACCCATTTGTCTTCTGCGATCATATCAGGAAGGTGGGCACACAATGATATAATTTTTTTGTTGTTTGATGCCTGAAACCTGATTTGTTCCACACCTCATGATCACACAGGCTGGTGTGCTTCTTCCATAGTGGGCTTTGTTGCTCCTGAGCTAGATGGCCACTTATTTACCTTCAGGTCCTTAAGATCCCAAAAACCTATATTTCTTGGCCGCTTGTTTACCTTCAAGCCCTAAGACCAAAAGACCTATATCTTTTGATAGCCGGGCACCATCAGCTTTCTTCACCATACTTGCTTATGCCCCCATTTGTCCTCAGTGATCATATCGGGAAGGCAAGCTTACAATGATGTGATTTTCCTTTGTTGATGCCTGAAACCTGATCCCTTCAACACCTCATGATCACAAAGGCTGACACCCCCATTTCTTTCTCCCACCTCCCCCTCTCCCATGTCCCCCCAGAAAAATTGGTCCTGTTGTTTTCTCCTCCAGATTGTTTATCCTGCCTATCTTATGTAGAAAGACATGCAGAGATAATAATAAGCACAAAAACAAGCCAGAGCAAAACAAAACAACAAAAGAAAACAAACAAACAAAAAAACAAAATAATTGAGGAGCTGATGCCAGGGGCTTAGGTGGAGAGCAAATGTTTTGAGAATGATGAGGGCAATGAATGTACAAATGTGCTTTACGCAATTGATATATGTATAGATTGTGATAAGAGTTGTATGAGCCCCCAATAAAACGATTAAAAAATTTTTTTAAACAATAAAACCAAAATAACAATGACAAAAAAGAGAAAAGCCTAATAGTTCCAGGTCTGTTTGTTGGCCTTTATGAGTGTTTTCCAGTCAAGTCTGATGGGGTGCCACGCTCTGGCCCAAAGTCTATTTTTAGAACTTCCCGGGGACTTCATTGCTTTGCTCCCCTTGCTGAGAAGCAATAAAGCCCACATGGAAGAAGCACACCAGCCTCTGTGATCATGAGGTGTTGATGGAATCAGGTATCAGGCATCTAAGACCCAGAACAAAAAATCATATCATTTTGAATGAGGGGGGGTGCGGAGTGAAGACCCAAAGCCCATCTGTAGACAATTGGATATCCCCTTACAGAAGGGTCACAAGGAAGAGAGGAGCCAGTCAGGGTGCAGTACAGCACCGATGAAACACCCGGCTTTCCTCTAGTCCTTTAATGCTTTCCCCTCTATCATGACCCCAATTCTACCCTACAAATCTGGCTAGACCAGAGCATGTACACTAATACAGATAAGAGCTAGAAACACAGGGAATCCAGGACAGATAACCCCTCGGGACCAAAAATGAGACTAGAGATACCAGGAGGTTAACGGGAAGGTGGGGGGGAAGAAGGTGGGGGAACCGATCACAATGATCTACATATAGCCTCCTCTCAAGGGACATAAAACAGAAAAGTGGGTGAAGGGAGCCAGTGGTCAGTGTAAGACATGAAAAAAATTATCAAGGGGTCATGAGAGAGGGAGGGGGAGGGGCAAATGAGCAGATACTAAAGGCTGAAGTAGAAAATATTTTGAAAACGATGATGGCAACATATGTACAAATGTGCTTGACA